CCCCCAGACATGGCTGGTCCTGACCTAAGGAGAACCTCCCCCCTCCCAGCCACCCTTGTTCCCCCTAAAAACCCACCCCCCCAACCTCCCTCATTCCCCCTAAAAAAATTTTAAAACACCCCTTTAAAAATCGTCTCAATTTAACATTTTTCAATTCCCTATTCGTGGCCGCTGCATGAGGGCAATTCGGAAATAAACCTCTGTTTGGTCATCAATGACAGACACTCACAGATACAGAACTTTTATTATGCACATTAGAAAACTACAACATTACATTACTTTTCGACATAATCAACATATTCAAATTGAGGCATTTGTCATAACACAGTGATGGCGAACCTTTTAGAGACCAAGTACCCAAATTGCAATGCAAAATCCACTTATTTATTGCTGGGTGCCAGGTGGGCATGGCCCACTGGGTAGGTGTGGCTGTTGTGACCATGGCAGACTGGGTGGGCATGGCCAAGGTGGGTGTGGTCACCTCAATGTTGCTCATGGGGAGAGACACCTGTGGGGGCCGGGCAGGGTTGGGGGAGATCTAGGGGGACTCTGGCAGGTGGGGCAGTGGGCAGGAGGCTTGTCCTGTGGAGTGAGGCAAGGCAAGGCGAGGCAGGGCAGGGGTGCCATTGTCTCAAGGCAAGGTGAGACAGGGACTGGGGCGGCTGCTGCCTGACATCATCGGCTTGCGCACACAGAGGCCAGCGAGCGCATGGGGGCCGACAATGTCCATCAGCAGCCACAGCCTGCTGGCCCCTCGACCGGCACACTCTGGGCCTCCGCAGCTCGCTGCCAGTTCAGAGAAGCCGCCTCTGAGCTGGACGGCTGGCTGACAGCTGAGGAGGCAATGCAGTGGATTGTGCCCGGGAAAAGGAGGGCATGCGAAGCCAGGAGGGATGGGATGGGGGAGGGAAACCAGCCATGCTGGGATGCCTCTGGCTATGTGAGACCTCGGCGAGTTAGTGGGTGGCTGGTTGAAAAGAGACAGTTGCCATCTCCGGGGTATGGCACGCATGCCATACCCCGGAGAGGGCTCTGAGTGCTGCCTCTGGCACGCATATCATAGGTTCGCCACCACTGTCATAACATCTTATAAGGTTTGAAATTCCTTACTAGTAGTCGCTTGGTGCCAAAACTGGGCTATGGAGGTGTGTGATCAAAAACATCAAAACAGAATTGCTTCAAAAGTTCTTGGGTGTGTCTAGTGATGTACGGGCAAGCATTATCATGAACCAATACCACACCAGAAGTGGTGCCATAGAAAATCCTGCCAAATGTGAAGATGCCAAAGGAGTACTGCTAGTAAGTTCATGGAGCATGGTTCAATTTAGAAGTCTACTGTGAAACATTACGAAAACTCAGACGAGCCATCCATAACAAGTGTCGGGGTATACAGACTTTGGGTGTGGTGTTGGTTCACGATAATGCTTGCCCACACACCACTAGAGCACCTAAGAACTTTTGAAGCAGTTCTGTTTTGATGTTTTTGATCACCCCACCCCATAGCCCAGATTTGGTGCTGAGTGACCACTACTAAGGAATTTCAAACCTTGTAAAATATTATGACAAGTGCCTCAGTTTGAATGGCAATTATGTCAAAAAGTAATGTAATGTAGTTTTCTAATGTGTATAATAAAAGTTCTGTATCTGCAAGTGTCTGTCATTGATAACCAAACGGAGGTTTATTTCCAAATTACCCTCGCAGACTAAAACCTCCAGAAAGCAATTTTTGAATCTTCAGAGATATAAATGTCATCTATTTGCCTAACCTGTTTATTCTACTTTCATGTGGATTATCTCAAAAAAGCCTCTCACATTTCAGAGTGTTACATTTTATCCTCACTGCCCTGGAATTAAAAGAAATATTTACACAAACAAACTCCTTTTGTTTGGAAAATGAGAGTGAGGTCAGGATTCAAAAAAGCAAGGAAATAGATCTCAAACTCCAAGGGAGTCTTTAATACATTTATGCAAAGAGCAGTATCCTTATTCTACTTTGTTTATTAAAATGAAGGAAATTTCAAAAACAAATATGATCGACTTAAAAAAAAAACAGAAAGAAATTGCACTCTGTTTAGGTAGGTTGCTGAAGAAGAGTCTTGAATCTTAACATTAATGCTCTGAATTTAAACTACTACTCTTTTAGGATTTGAGGAATGTCTATAATGGATGTCTTCAGACATGTTTGCTATGCCATGATGTACTGGGTTTAATTTTTACTAAAAATAATTCATAGGAAAAAGTAGCAAGATCTATTTGCATGTAATAATGCCATTTTGGACTGAGGGAGGGAAGGAAGGAAAGTCAATTTTCAATTTGTCTTTAGGAAGGACAACTGGAGAATTGTTTCTTGACTATTTTTGGAAATTACTTAATCTATTTCAGCAGTGTAAATTTTTTGTGCAAAACGCTAGGAAGCAGCAGGTTAAACAAATTCAGTAAAACATGTTTTTTGTAGTAGCTTTACTAATGCATATATTGATTGCATTATTCTTTTAAAAAAGTGTTATCACATATAACACTGACATATCCTGAACTGAAAAGAATGATCTATTTCTCACATAAATACATACCCACCCTATTTAAAAATATTTACTGGTGACCTGATCACATGAACAAAAGAATAAATGACTATTGGAGCCCATCACAGTGGAAATTTTTCATTATCTCAGCCTATCTTAATTTAAATATTGTTATGAACTTCATATATATCCAATTTGATGAATGAAGAAGTTGTTTGCTTTAAAGTTCCCTAAATGTTATTTTAATTGTCAGGAAATACTCTGTTTGTCTGTTAATGCTGGTGTTCCATGAAAGACAAAAATGTTTTTCTACAAATGATACAAGAACAGTGGAAAGCATGATATTAAAAACGTTCTCCCCTTTGATGAATCATGTTAACAATTTCCTGAATTTGACACATAGATATGTTGGAAATCCATGTTTGCATAAATTACAATGGTACGCTGGGAGGAAGGCATCAGCTAAAATCTTTTGGATGGGATAGAAATGAAAACAGCTGAATAGATTTTCAAGATGGCAGGTATTGTTTGCATGTGGAAGTGGGTTATTACATTAATCATGGGAAAATAAGAAGACTGGTAACTTTATACAACACATAATGTGCCACCTATACTTAGTAATATGCTATCACATGCAATCTGATTTCTGTGATACCTTCATAAACAATGCTGCTCTTAGTATAGGTGGTGGACATATCAAAGGGAAAAAAAACAAAATTAAAAGAAAGGAAGGGAAGATTGACTAACGTACTTCAGGAGAAGGCCAGACCCTGGAGAGACCCTGCAGTGGAGTACTTGCTAGAGTCCACAAAAGACTGGTCTGATAAAAGACAACAACAAGGAATAAGAAAGGGAAGAAAGAGAAAGGCTGGTATTAGTAAGCTGCAATACACTCATTTTAAGCAAACACTCAGACCGTGCTTTTAAGACACAGCATTTCAGTTCAACAGGGCAATAATGATTGGCTGTGAGGGAACAAGGGTGAGTAACAACCGTGCAATGGAATCTCCCCGCTATGTAGACAAATGAAAGTCCATCACCCTTTTCATACTCATCTCCCCCCTGCCCATGCCAACACAAGCAGCATGCCCAGACTGGCCTACCTTGCAGGCTATTCCCATTGGTGCTGGTACAGGTGGGGGGAGGGGACGTCTGTGGTCTGACAACAGGAGCAAAAGCACTCTTCTGTTTCACTGCCGAGACCATATTGGCTGGTGAGAAGGAGAAGATCCCAGAGGAGCTGCTACAATTAGAAGGGAGACTAGTAGAGGATGCCATGGTTGGACTGGATGGCACAACTAGAAGAAAACAAGAAGAGAGAAGAATTATTCTTTTCAAGACCATAAATTAACTGGAGTACTTCATTTATCTATTTGCAAGTTATTTGCAAGGCTCCCTTAATGATGTCCAGAATGACTGATGTTTCACTCATTTAAAAATGGAATGTCCCTTCTGAGAGTCCCTCGTTGGAGAGGAACACCTAAGGTCATGGGGGAAGGAAGCAGAATGTGACTTGTTCCCATACACAAGTGTCTCAGGATTGCTGAAATTAGGCTAAACAGCACAAGGAATTTTTGATACTGTATTTTAGCTTTAAGGACAAGTTTGTGCAGCAATAGCAGTGGTTGCAATTCTGTGGAAGTAATTTCTAAAGTGCTCTTGAAAGATAACTATACATAAAATCAGTTTGTTTAGTGGTTAATGCTCCAGGCTAGAAAACAGGAGACCATGAGTTCTAGTCCCACCTTAGACATTAAAGCTAGCTGGGAGACCTTGGCCCAGTCATTCTCTCTCAGGCTGACTCACTTTATTGTGGGGGAAATAAGAAAAGTGTGCTGGACATGTTTGCCATCTTGAATTATTTGTAAAAATGATAAAGGTGATGATAGATAGATAGATAGATAGATAGATAGATAGATAGATAGATAGACAGACAGACAGACAGACAGACAGACAGACAGACAGACAGACAGACAGACAGACAGACAGACAGACAGACACAGATAATGGATGGATGGACGGACAGACAGATAATCATTCCCTGCTTCTCCATTAATAATCCTGGCTGGGAATATGTTTCTTAAAGAGACACAACCTAGCAAGTTAAAAAAATGTATTCTACTTCATTCCACTATGTGTTCTTCAGCATTAGTACTGCAAGTAAGCAAAGTGATTTTGAGCATCACAAAAGCAAATTATTTTTTCTTAAATTGTTATTATTACATTTATATTTCAGAGATAAGAAGAGACACTTGAAGGATTCACTACCCTATGAGCCAAATGGCTTATTTTGAATATTATACATTATAATTTGGGAGTATATATGTAGATATATGCATGCACTATTTGTTGTTTTGTCCAAAGAAAATAACATTTTTGTTGACTACAGAGTTCAATCAGAAAATGATGCCAAGAGTTCTTGAAGTGTCATCAAGGACATTGGGGAGTACTTTTTAGATTATCTGTATCTGTATGTAATCCAAACTGCATGCACATTTTGCATCCCCTGCAACATTATGCTTAATTACTTTTTAAAAACCCTGTTGGTTCCTTAAATAATATAGTTAATGCCTTTACTCAAAATAGGACCAAATTACTTCAGAATTACTGTCTTCTATGATTCTGGGAAAAAGAAAAAAAATCATTTACAGGCCAAATTACTCATTTTTTAAAAAAAAATCTTGTTTAGAGATTGTTTATGTTCAGAATGTTTTATGAATAATTAAATGGTTTGGGAATGAACATTCAAATTAGCTGAGACATAGATGACTATTTTATTTGCATTTATACAGACAAAAATAATCCCTTTAGAATCTCTGTGTAAATATATGATACCACATTTTTGAACCCCAATGAAATCAATTAATGGAAATTAAATGTTCAAAGTTTCGCAGTCTGACAGTTACTGTCTTAGTGTAAAGTCACTTGGTATTTGCAAGCACTTGTGAAGGCAGAGCAATCAAAGCACCCAAATTGAATTGCAACTATACAGCAATTAGTTTATTGATTTAATTAAGAATGCCACCTTTCTAATTCTCAGGTCATGATTGAAACATTTTCTGATTAACAATATTTGTTGTTAATAGGGCAGGAAAAGCCTTCTAAGAATGATGATGATCAGACAAAAAAAGGCATGATTTAATAGGAACAAACACATCACAAAGTTGTGAGGCATAAATTTGGCATTGCTGAAATATTTCTAACCACGAACCAAATAATGTTGCTAAGATAAAGCATCCTGTCAAACTCCCACAATCTTATCTGTTGCCAGTAGATTATGAAGGGAAGACTTCCAGAGGGCTCCAGTCAATTGAAAACTACCTTAGATTAAGAAGGCCATTTAATGAATTTTATTGTCGAACAAACTCAGTGGTAATAATACGGCCATTAAAAAGTAATTCTTGGTATAAAGTTGTGAACTATTACAGGTAGTCCTCAACTTACAACCATTCACTCAATCATCGTTCTGAAAAAAAAGTGACTTATGACTGTTTTCACACTTATGATGATTACAACATACCCCTCATGGACATGTGATCAGAATTTGGACACCTGGCAACTGGCATGTGTTTATACATTGGGATTGCACATGCCCTAATTCGAAATAGATTTCTGAAAATTTTGGAAACTGTAGACCAAATAACCCTGATGGGCTATAGCAAGCCCATCATCTCTTTAATTAGACTATTATAGTCATTTCAGTTATAACATCTTTTGGTCTTTTCAATTACTGGTAAAATCAGGTCAATTCTCTTCCTAGAGTTATGCACAGTAAAGTAGTCAAACTGTATTTACGGGGAAATAAATCTCCATTAACAATTTTTTTTGAAAAATTCTCCAGTTTGGAGATTTCTTGGGTCAAGTTGTTTGATACCATACCTTTATTTAAATTGATTTCTGGCTTTGCAAGTTTGAACATCAAATGGATAATGGGTCTAGATTTAACCAATTCTTTCCATACAGATTAGGGGTTATTAACATCTAGCGTCTCTTGGGGAACTCACATATGATTTAAATTTGCATTTTCACATATTCTAATGCTGTATAGTATATTTTCAAGCAACAACAGCAACAGCAGAGACCTCACTGTACAATTTTCATCTTATTTGTGTGGAATTAAGCACACCAATTAGATATTTGGTAAATTTCTTGAAATGTTTTCAATCATTACAAAAGCTTAAAGTGTGCAGCTCACTACTCAATATATGTTGTGCAACATATATAATAATACATACTGGCGTAGGGAGAGTTGGCAGCAGATCCATTCAGAAAGGTTGGAGAACCACCTAAATTGGACATTCCAGCATTTCCATACCCATTCATGCTTGTTGTGACGGAGTTGTAGTTTGTCTGCTGAGGGGTAGTGCTTGGCACGTAACCATGAGGAGACACACTGCTTGAGTTGCGAGTAAAACCTTTTGCAGAAAGTAAAAAAAGCACAACAGCTGTTTTTCAACCAAAAGTTACACCCAATTTCAAAACATTCCATACTATGCTACACTAAAACTGGATGAGACTTCAGTTTTTTTTAAAAAAAAATGCAATTATGGGGAAAATTTGAGGGAGTGGCTTTTTAAAATAGTTTATTTATTAATTAATTATACATTATTTATCTTATGTGCCCTGTAGTCAATTTTTCTATGTGTCATAGAAAATGGATTAGAATGTAAACATTATTTCAATATTCCAACCATAAACAATTAAAAATCCAAACCAGCAAGAAAATCCAAATTGTTATGAATATAGCATGATAAAAAATATTATATGGATTGCTGGAACTGTATAAGCTGAAACTACTATGAGTGCCTTAAATAACCAAGGTCTTTGAAAAAAAAATTGTAAAAGTAGAGGAGAAAGAAAAGATCTTTGCCTGGTGCTAAAAGAATCACAATTATGGGTTCCAGACAAGCTTTCATAGGAAAAGCATAAGCATTTCATTGTGGCAATCTACCAGTAAAAATATTGAGAATATTTAAGTAATCGTGATGCACTATAGTGGGTCACAGATAGTAGAAGATATTGCAAGCCACTGTGGGATACAGCCTAATGCATTGTATCATAATTTTCTTCATTTTCAGACATGCATTCAGCAACCTGTTAACCATTTGTGACAAATTCGTATTAAAAAAAAGGAAAAAAGTGTTTCTTGTTTTGTTAAATCTGGAGAATGGTTAAATTAGTTCTAAACTATTAAAGCAAGGACAATCATTTTTGCAATGTCAGAGACTTCTGAGATCTATTTATTAGAATATAATATCAGTAAAAATAATAATAAAACAAACTGTCATGATGCTTACAGCTATACTTTATAAAAATATAGCTGCACTTTTGATTGTGGGTTCTGTGGTCTTGGTTGCATGAGATACACATGAAGTTCTACTAGTTTTCAAGGAATACTCATCCCTTAATAAAAGTAAAAGTGGGCTGGATGCAATAATAATCCCAGAATTGCAATTAAAACTATTATCTGGATTCTGAAGCTCATGATATCCCAACATGTAACATTGTCCTACTGAAACTTTTCCTCTGATTCTAGACACCTCAGACCAGAATTCCCGATCGCAGGAAAAGTTCCTAAGTAACACTGCTTCCTATTCCTGACATTCTACAAACTGAGCCTGTATTCAAATGAAGGAATCATACTTAGATCATAGGATTAATTTTGGAGATTTTCACTTTTAGATTTATTAGATCACAACTTATTGAAATGGGTGGCTGACTATCTGTTCTGTCCTTCACAAGGACCCCGTGTTATCATGCTCCTTTTCACAGATAATTAATTATCCAAATGTATTGTACATTGCCTGGATTCTGAGCTGTTCTATATATATGACGCTAAAAGAAAAAAAGTATGCTGGTTGAAAGTAATGTGCATTATCCCTTTTATTTACCATATAAAGTCTTAAAAAGAGGGGAAAAATCTTCTTCAGCTTACCCTGATTGGTGGCCTGTGAGGATTCTGAGACATTTACTGCTAATTGGCCACTAAATGAATTCACACCCATCATGCCCGCATGGACTGATGTATTAGCGAGTGCAGGAAGTTGGTTATGATTACGAGGGACACTGTAGAGGGCTTCTGCAATGTCAGCTGCTCTTTTCAGGATTATTTCCTGCCAAGACATAAGTTTAGATCGGAAGGAAAGTAATTAAATTCAGGTAGTTCTCAATTTACGACCTCAACTGAATCCAAAATTTATGTCACTAAGGGAAACATTTGTTAAGGAAGTTTTTGCCCCATTTTATGACCTTTCTTGCCACAGTTGTTAAGTGTACCACTGCAGCAGTAACCCGGTTGCTAAGTGAATCTGGCTTCCCCATTGACTTTGGTTGGCAGAAGGTCCCAAAAGGGGATCACATGACCCTGGGACACAGCCAGTGGTGGGATTCAAATATGTGAACAACCGGTTCTCTGTGTGGATGCCGCTTCCAGAAGTCCATTCTGGGCCTGGGCAACAAAACATTAGCTACTGGTTCTGCCGAAGTGGTACGAACTGGCTGAATCTCACTACTGGACACAGCAATAGTGTTAAATATGAACCAGTTGCCAAGCATTTGAATTCTGATCACCTGACTAAAGGGATGCTGTAATGTTGTAAGTGTGAAAAATGGTCATCCCTTTTTTCAGCACCGTTGTAACTTTGAATGGTCACTAAATGCACTGTGAGGACTACCTGTACAAAACTTACTAGGAAATATCAGATTCGGACTGCCAAAATCCAAGTGGCCACTAGATATCAGCAAAATATATTTTCTGCTTTCTTCCTACCATCAAGTGGGCTTTTTACCCCCCAGCTATTGATCTGGTAGCTCAGAGATCCCCAACATTTTGGACACCAGGGACTGGTTCCGTGGAGAAAAGTTTTTCCACGGACTCGAGGGTGCGTGGTTTTGTGTGCTGCCTGCATCCTGCAGATGGGGCTTTGCTTGTTTGCTGGCATGCCGCAGCCCAGTACTGGTCCACAGAACAGGGGTTGAGGACCCCTGTGGTAGCTCTTAATCTACTCATCAGTTGAAAGTCTGCACTGGTGCCAGCTTTCATAGCAATGGAAAATTGAGCTATGAATCAGATTGTGACTTCATCGGTTCAAAGGAAGGGATGAACAACAGTAACAGATATCATGAGGAACCAATTCTTTGCTACTATCGGTAGTCCTCAACTAAGAACCACAACTGGGACCAGAATTTTTTTTGCTAAACAAGGTAGTTTAGCAAGATCAATCATGCCTGATTTTACAAAATTTCTTTTCCACAGTCGTTAAGTGAATTGTGGAGTCATCAAGTGAATCCAGCATCCCCCATTCACTTTGCTTGCCAGAAGCTGGTTGGGAGGGTCACAAATAGCAATCACATGACCCAGAAGACATTGCAATCATTGTAAATACATGTAAATACATACATTTACGACTGGCTGACAGTCGTAAATGCAAGGACCGGTCATTAAGTCACTTTTTTCCCTGCTGTTGTAACTTTGAACATTGTTAAATGAATGGTTGTAAGTTGAAGGACTACCTGTATTCTGTAAAATGGAGACCAAGTTAGAAGGTTGAAGATGGTTATTGTAAAATATTACATATAAGGACATATTTATTTGTTCTTAGAAAGAAACAAATAATTATAAGTATTGGGAAAACCTTTAGTCCAGTCCCAATTTGTAGTGAACAGCTATCTATCTTCCACAAAGCAAAAGGCACAAAAAAGTAGAGGTTCATAGACAAAGGGCTGTAAATGGGGAAATTAATCCCAATATATTGATATCAGAGAGCTGAGCGTGACCATCATTTACTTCAGTGCATTTATTTTTGGAAAGACATATAAGATTCCAGTGTTAAACATCTGTCTTTATTTTTAGGAGCTTGTAAAGGAGTTCTATAAAATAAGGACATGGCTTACTAAGAATTAGTTAGACCTGTACTTCTTAAATTACAGTAAGATAAAGGCTCTAAATAGAATGCCTAAATTGTAAATTATATTTTATACTGATATTAAGTTAACTACTTGGCAAGAGCAATTACTAAACAGTTGATACCATACTAATGTATTTAAATTCTATTGAAACTATAACACATTTAAAACTATAAAATACTAATAACACAGAATAGTGTTTTCATTATTTTAGCAAAGCAAATCAACTAATAAAATCAAAAATTAAAATGCTATTATTGTTAGAAACTTTGAAATGAGTTTGGTTCACGTGGGAAGTTTTCTTAGATCTATTATGGCACCCTCATTACTTTTCTCCAATTTGCAATTTTATTTTTATTTGTCCATGACTCTCCGCGTAGATTTTAGAACACCAAGTGGAGAGCTACTTAACCAAGGCTGCATTTACCTGATTGTTATGTGGCATACCATAGAGTGCTTCCACCAGATCAGCTGCCCTCTTGAGTATTACTTCCTGTTAGAAAGAAAAGGAGAATTTTATCCATGTTTATGTAAGCAAATGCAGTTCCAACATTGTGTTTTCAATTTTGTTTTCAATCACAGCCTTGTTTTCAGTCTTAAAAATCAACAGTACCTAGTCAACTCAGAACGTTGCTAAATCATGAATTCATCCAGTTCACACAAAAGTTAAATGGTAAAACCTGCTTGAGCTGCAAAATAAAATCTGTCACTCAATTGTCTTCTGACTGCACAGAAGCTGCTTGCTGGTTTATTGCCGAATAAGACCTACATCTCTTTGTTCAATTGCAATCAATGTCACCCAGAGCATGTTCAGATTTATTTCGTGCTGTTTATTTGGCTCTTAATTTATATAATAGAAATGTGTCGTTATCAGATCAGCCATATTGTTAAGCTATCTCTGGAATGCTGTTCTGATCTGATAACAAAAGCAAGTTCTATGCTTCATCTTTTTACCATAGTTGGGTGCCATAGCCTGGTATTTAAAAGGGAAAGAAAGGTTATGAAGACAAGCAGCAACTGAGAACAAAATATAAATGTTATTCTTCAGGGAATTTGGAGGGCTGTGGGTGGAGTGTCAAAATTTTAGGCATAAACCTAACTTTAATTTCCACGGTTGCTCACTTCTCCATCTGCTCATTTATTTATCCTTGTTGTATTCCTAAACTCATTTGTATTACGTACATTTCTTCATTTCCCTGCTCCAGCTATGCCCTCACGGTCCTGAGACTGGCATAGCACAATGGTCTCTTTGTATTTTTAGCATGTAAAACTTCAAGAACAAGAGTGGAATCAATAAAATGTATTTGTAAATTACAAGTATCTTTCTACATCACAGAAATAATAATATACATTTGATTCCTCCTGTATGTATAAAAATCTTAGTAACTTCTACCAAAAATAATAGATTTTTAGAGGTATGACAGCATAAAAGCTGAATTGTAATATATTTTTGCAAATGCATGTTTTTAAGAACTGACTTTTAAGTTAAGCTGTGAAGCTTAACTAGGAATGTTTTATACACTAGTTAGATTTTCTAACTAAAAGAAGTAGTAATGCTCAATTTTCATATACTATAGTCTCTTATCAGAGGAGAGATATAATTGCATTCATTTTGCTGTCACCATAACCTCTTCAAAATCCTTGAACAACTCTTCAGATGACAAGCTTTTAGATGCATATTAGCATTTTTCAATTTAAAATTCTCTACAATATACGCTAAAATAGTTGGCATATTGCAGTGGGTACTTATGATATACATGATGTCCTAAATTTAAAAATGAGATTGTAAGTATGTTTTGAACTCCCATACACATTTATCGTTCCTTAGAACTACAGCACACTGTCCCTTTCATAATGCTTGCAGCTAGCTGCATTATATAATTGATGGGTTTTAAATCAATACATTTGAAACTATTTATTTCTGAAAAGATCACTAGCTCTTGCCTTTGTCCTCTCTATGCATCCTGACCAAAGTACTGAATAATTTACAAGTGTATGAATTGAATGCACACGATACCCATATGGAATCAGGCCCTGCTGGTTCAGCCAAGCTACTTAGAAAATCAGTGAGCTAAGTCTGCCTTGTAAAAGATTTTTAAAATATATAGAATAGAAGGGAAAAAAAACAGCTTGCCACATTTGACTTCCAGTTCCTAGTAAATTAAAACATCTTGTCCAGACAAGATGATTTTGGAAATGTAATGCTATCCCAGGTGACATCATCAGCCATTGCATAACGTCATTCATTATAAAATGGCAAATCTCTCTTATTGTTATGAGAAATATGTCTTATACCTTGGCCCAAATTAATAATAAAACTTGTATTTTGCTTTAAGTCTGAGTATCGATATGTACAGAGTAAATCAAATATTAACTTTGGACCAGTTTAATTCCCCCAATGGAATCTCCATATGACAATATGGTTTATGGACTATCTTAATGTAACTACATGAAATCTAAACTTCCATTCTTCAGAAATAATTTCTTAATAGTTGGTAAGATCAACAATAAAATAATTCTAATTGCAGACACTTTCCTCATAGTTTATCATTGGAATATATTGAATAAGCATCTCTACAATTTACATATTGTCAATGTTTAGGTTGCATTTCTTTTTATAACAAGGAATTGCCTATACATTTCATGTTTTCTTAACAAAATCACCACATAATAACACCTTTCTTTTATGTAGCATTGTCAAATGTTGTAAAACAATTATGGAAAAAAATCTTGTCAGGTAATATTTAAGCTTTTACATAAAAATGCTAGTTTTTCTGTTCTATTCAATGTTAACATAGAACATTCTACACAGCAATCAATGTAATTTAAAACATTTTTGGTTTCAACCCATTTATGAGCACAGTCCTGACTTCAAATACAATGTGATGCCTAAAAGTCTTCTAGAAAGTACTGTTCCTGCAACAGCACTGGCAAGATGGTTGAATTGCAGTGACCAGAAAATTGTTCTCACCTCCATGTCATTATGTTCACAGTGAACCAGCCCCGAGCGTGTTTGTGTTCGGGATCTAATATATTGCCTTTCAATCAGAGCTGAGAGCCACTGAACACATAGACAGAACATGACGAGCAGGTCAGGAAAGCAATAAAGATTTTACAGAGCTGTCCAAGGTGCTAAATTTACTCAATAATGGGTTTGGCACCATAGTGTTAACCTCTCATTTACTACTAGTTTGAGAGACTAAATTGAAGTAGCTGACTTCATTTACCTTGAAATGTATATTTTATGACATTATGTAAGTAGATTGAAAGGGCACTGCAGCTTTAACAATTTAAGGGGCTAAAGCAAGATTATGGCTGGGTTTTTTTTTATCGTAGATTGTATATTGTACTTAAAAGTATATAAAATACTCCAATGTACTGGTTAACCTTCTGAATGTTATTGTAAGAAGATAGCTGATATTAAAAAAAAATACCTAAGTCTTTGAAAGCAATATTGTGCTGCCGAAAGTTTGCATAAAGGGCACCACAGAAAGATTGCCTTTGAATAGATACTAGAGCATGGTAAATACACTCACCAACTTTATTATTTGTTTTTGGAGTAACAAATTACAACATTTCCAAGTGCATTAATTGTATTAGGAATGCATATTCCTTTTCATGACCCTAGCCCATGTTCCTTTTCATCTGATAACTTATCAGGCTCTCATTCTAGGCATACTTACTGGACATTAAGTAAGAGGGTAACTAGGCAAAGGGCTGCAATTGTTCTTTTTAGTGACTAAAATAATTCATTTAAGAATCAGACAGTTAATATTTTTAAGAGAGTTTCTGGAAAAATAGAAGCACTATCCCTGTATTCTATATTTGTTTCTTTTATATCATCGTAGATTGGCTAAGGTTTGTTGAGATTAAAGTGGTACACTAACCCCTGAAATTAAGATGATTTACTTAACTTTTTTTCAGTAAAGAAAATAAATCTGTGGATAATGGCTGTTAGTAGTCTGTAAACAGAAAGCTTGGAGATCAGAAAGCATGTGCTATATGTTCACTTTAATCCCTACAGTTTAGGGGAAAAGGAATTCTGGCTGAAAGAAAAGTCTTAAGTCAATCAGCCATCTGCAAGACAAACTTATTTTTTTTTTAAAAAAGGAAGAGTTTATTGACTAGGATGTTCTTGAGAATGATTGCTGGTTTATGTTGAACCTCAGAATTTAATAGGAGCTATTTCTGGTTAGGTTGGAAGAGAAAAAGGAGTTCAAGTTTTTGAAGAAAGATTTCAAAAGGGAATGTATGAAAGGGCACTGATTTACACTTTTAAGTATTCCTGAAGGAGGAAATTCTTACTCAATTGAGAGAGATCAGCAAGGAGAACTCTACAAAAAGAAGATCTGTGGCTTGGTGATTATTAACTGATATTATGTAACTTTTATTACAGAATAATTCATAATAGTTTTGTAAAATCAGCAAGAAACAGTAACGTGATAAGGAGGATATCTATCTATCTATCTATCTATCTATCTATCTATCTTTCTTTCTATCTATCTATCTATCTATCTATCTATCATCTGTCTGTCTGTCTGTCTGTCTGTCTGTCTGTCTGTCTGTCTGTCTGTCTGTCTGTCTGTCTATCTATCTATCTATCAATCTATCTATCTATCTATCTATCTATCTATCTATCTATCTATCTATCTATCTATCTATCTATCTATCTATCTATCTATCTATCTATCTATCTAATCCAAACTTCTATAATTTGGATATATGCATATGGTGTTTTCTGTAAACTTACTTTGGACAGGATAGAACAACTAATAAATTACATAGGTTATTACCATTATAATAACGCTGATTGATTTATCTATGTTTAAATTTCAATTATTACAATTTCTGTTAAAGTATGCCATTTAAAAGAATTGAATAACAACTGTGTAGAGTGTTTTAATTGGAATATCTTACCTTAAACATTTCAGAAACAATATAATTCTATTAAAGCTAGTATTTAATTTATGAATATATTAATCTACAAAGATGTGTGTGTATGTGTATGTATGTGTATACACACACAAAATGCAGTTTGATCCAAAGCAATAACAAAAATGTTTCTTGCGTTTACCTTATTTATTATTTCAGAACATAATTTAATAGGCTAGGAAAATAGCTGGCTGTCTTCTAAAAGGAAAGCAAGATGAGAAAGAAATCCAATACTAATTATCCAAATAATTACTGAAATGAAAATGATCTTATTTCCCCAAACCTTCCATTTATTTTATTACAGATATCCAAATGCTTTAACTTTTTTCACTCAGTCAATCTTTCCATTCTGAAACAACACGAAGATTCAAATATAAGAGATTATAACTCTGAATTATAAGAGATATAACTCTGAAGCACAGACATACATCCATGGAAATATTATTTGGAAGTTGGAGTAAATTACACAGGAACACCATATTTACTTAGTATTTCTATCACAACATTCAATGTGGAGAGTACCAGTGAGAATTCATCAATGCATGTCATTTGCTTTTAACA